CTAGCATTACCCTCAACATCTACACGATCCACTGCAAACAGAGCATTGATCAAAATGGCAAGCCTTCTAAATCAACCAAAAGAATATGAATAGAAATAAAAGATACACTACATTCAAAATCAGTTGCATGTTCTAAGGCCTTGCAGTAAGGATTGTCAGAAAAGTAAGTTATTTCTTTCTGTAAAGCATCCAACATAGCAGTTTTGTCATTCTCATTGGCATTATAGTCCTTGCTCGCAACACATTTGTGATAATGAATGAGAACAAGAAGCACATGAAGACTGCTATCTGCTAAAGGACTTCTTGATTCCCCACTGCTTGAACTGATCAAATAACCAAAGGGCAGTAAAACAAAATTTGCTGCAGGGAAAGGGAAAAGTGACAAAAGACTCAGTTACTCTCCAACTTGTAAATTAGAATCTTGCAGATATAAGACAATTAATGTTATTTAGTCACCATACCAGCTGCAGAACCAACTCTCTGTAAAACGCCCCTCTCACTTCCTTCATTAAAGATGGAATAAGATGCTCGATTAAAAGGGATATTGGGCCGGGATATATAATTTAGTAGTAGTCTGCGCACAAAAGAACTAACTAGAGAGCTATCCTGCAAAAAGAACAGTACACCAATGGCAAATTAGTGAGTAATTTTGTCAACCCAAGTTTCATGCTACAATTTCATCTACTCACCTGAGACATAGCTGCATCAAGAAATGGGTTCACATCATTTGGTCTGGGAGATGACCCACAGAGAAGCTGAGTTGACATTGCAATAAGCATGAAATTAAGCAGCTCCAGATGCAAGAGATATGTGTTGGAACTAGAGTAGAAAAATATCATATTAAGAAAGGTAATATATGTCGAGGCTCAAAAACAATTAACAGCTCCAGCTATTAAATACCTCACATCTACTGATGTTATAAAGGTCAGCACATTCCGCATGACAAGATTTTCAATGGTTTGATCTGCATTAAGATTAAAGTATGTATATAAAAACATACACAACAAATGTCAAAAATACATACAATGGAGAGACATATCACAACATATTTGAGGAAAGGAATTTAAAACCTAAACTAACAGCTTTTTTTTTTGTGGGAAAATAGGTTCCAAAAAATTTCAATCTTGACACCAATTGACATTCATAAAAGCACCAAAAATCACATACTCATTAAGTTTCATATTTAAACTGATTTTCAATTTGCAGATCTTAATTTGATTAATGAATATAGCTAGTGGAAGCCCCACCGCCAGATCACTGAAATTAACTGTGTCGTGTATACTATTTAACTCAAAACATAAAGAGAACAGAAAAACAAGCATTCTAAAGTACTAGGAAAATATCATCTCATAAAGTTGTATTAACATAACAATGAACGTTGCATACCTCCCAAGATATCCTTAGGTATAGATTCATTTTCATCTAGCAAAAGATGTAACTCCAGATCATCATCACCTTTGACATTTTCAATCAAGTGCTTCAAAAATATTGAAGTGATGTACACCGCATTAACAGCCTTTTCATAAACCACTGGTGGTACACCAGATGTTGACATGGATTCCTGCAAGTAACATGCTAGATGGAACAAAATTTTTGAAAGATGTTTGGTGCGATGATTGTTTTTCACTGCAAGAAAGATGCAAGGAAACAAGCATAAGAGTCAAATATTATTATGATGGAGTGAACAGGAACAAATCTATTTGGCTACAAGAGGTCTTGAATAATGACTGTGATATGAGAAAAAAATGCGCTCCCTTTAACACCAAAATTAGCATTTAACCTGAAAAATTTGGGTCCAAAGTCAAATGAGCATTTCTATCCAGCACTTTAGGGGCAGAAAAACAGAACGTTAGCATCCAGTGTATTAATTCACGAGTGTATTCATTTTTTTGAACTAGAAAGTTCAACAGAGAAATCACAAAAGCATGCTAAACTTCTTGTAATTATCATTTTTAGCCTAAAATATATTCTCTAATGTATTGGCTCCTACTAATTATATTAGACCATGATTCTTAGGTAACGGAATTAGCCACAAATTGAGAACTATAGCAGCCAATTGAAGCTTCCCCTTCAAATCATTATTATCCTAGTAATTGATTACAAGTAGTAATTGTAGTATCACTACCCAGCAGCTCGTAGGCTTGGTGAACACGGTCGGTAGGCCATCGAAGATCGAAAGGAAGCTCGAGCAATTTCTGCCAGAACTCGGAGGAAAGCGGGAAAGACTCGCCACCGACGAAGGTTCCGATAAGATATTCCGCCGTGTCCTGTGAGAATGCACCGCTCTTGCGCGGAGTTGACGGCACTGAACCCATATGCTGAATGGGTTTGACGTGCTTGACTCGGTGCCTGAGTAGTTTGTTGGGTCGTCGACTGTGATCTAAGCTACAGTAAGCGAGATCCTCTTCGTCTTGCTAGCAGATTTACGTAAACGGCATTGTTCAAACTGACACAGAGATCAAGAGGGCTCGATCCCGAGAACAGAAGAGAGATGGAAATTGAAAATCTGGACAATTCGTGAAGCACACGAAGAGGAACAGACAGAGAGAGATATATAAGGAAGAGGAGCTTCAGAACGAAGGTTTTTGGTTTTTGGGGACTTTGAGAGAGAGACGTAAGACTCGTTTTGTTTGGGCGTTTTCCGTTCGGGTTAAAGACGTCATTCTCTTTTTGAATTGACCGTATTGCCCCTCCAATAAACTGAAATTCAAGCAAGGCCTTTTTTGTAAATACAAAATAACAATGTTATTTGACCAAAAAATTTAATAATATTAGTTTAATTTTTTGTCAAATAATAATATTATTATTATTATTATATTTTTATTTGGTAAGAAATCCTGATTCTTAGTTCATAATTAAATAACATTATTATGTAATTCTAAAAAATAATTATTGGATATTTAAATTTAAATAAAAATATTAAAATAATACTTGATTGAGAAAAAATCATAGTTGGGATTGGAAAAAATGAGACTATCGTACACCGACTTTCATGCATCATCAGCCATTGAGCAAGTTCTATTCTAATTTCGAAGAAACGTGCGGTAACTTTTTAGTTTTGCTGTTATTACGTGGACTAATATAACTTTGAACAGTTAAATAATATCATTTAAAAATATAAAATATTTTTTTATTAAATCCAGCTCCCAATAAAATAATTATTTATTTTTAAAATAATATTATTTTTTATATTTTTTGTTTAATATAGTGTTTCACTTTAAAATAAATATAATAGTTTATTTATTATAGCACTTTTGCAAAAAAAAATTAATTACCTATTGAAATATTAAAAATATTTTATATTTTTAACATCAAACTCTTCAAAAAATGTCTTATATTTTTTAACGAATGAGTACTCTTCTACTTCTATTTTTAAGTCACTTCATTAAAATTAATAAAAACATTAAAATTCATAAATTATGTCTAAAAATTTAATAAATTTTTAACTTTACTCATATTAAATATACCTACATTATTAATATATTTTTTCACTAATATTTAATAGAGAATAAAATAAAAAATTAGTTATAAAAATTAAAAACGTGACTTATAGATATGATAAAAAAAAAAGCTTATCTCTTTAGCTTATGAATAAGATTGAAGGGGGTGAGTGTTAGGAGAAGAATAACGAAAATGAAATTTTTTTGAATCTCCCCAATTCTTGATTCGTGGATGAGGAAAATAGTTGGATTTTTATCTCAAAAATATATTCTCTTTAAGTGAGCTATTTATATTGGCATAAAGCTTGGTATAAATCATTACCTTCACAGTTTGTAATTAGCATATTTTTTCTATTTGTTTTGTGACTTTTTTAAGTGTTTTGAAAGGCTTACTGGACCATAAATGTGAACATATCATGAGTCTAATTACCTTTTTTGAACATATTCAATATAAAAGAATAGAATCAAATTTCAAATAATCATAATAAAAATAACTTAATAAACTTTTTAAACATGTTCAATATAAAAAATTGTAAAATTAATAAACTTTTCAAACATATTCAACATAAACTATTCAAAAATTAATACGTTTGAAGGTGAAAAAGTGCTTCTATTACCTAACAAATTCCATGCTTGACTAATCTGCATGATTAATTGAAAAATTAACAATTTTGCAATCAGATATGACATTTATCAAGAGCCAGGTCAAGGCAAGTAATTTGCTATTAAATGGAAAAAATTAACACTTCTAAAAGGTTGCAGCTCCATGCTTATTGTATTGCAATCTTGAGTTACAGTCCAAAATTATTTGTTTCCTATTTGAAATTATGTGATTTTTTTTCCTATTTTGGAAATCTAAAAAAATATCTTTTAAAAACAAAAAGTAAATTGCACAGACGTCCCTAGACTTTCACTAAATTACACATATCTTTCTTATCCTTTTAAAACTTATACAATCTTCTCTGAAAAACAAATAATAAATGAACTGGCCATAAAAATAAAAAAATATATCACATAGATCTTCTCTTATTTATTTTTGAAATTATTTAGACCTCCTTTCTAATTTTAGGGTAGAGTTGCGCTTATTTTGAAACTAAAAAAATTGGAAATATATTTGTATTGATTTTGCAAAATCAGAAAAACAAAAAAAAACCTTCATGATTTTGGCAAAACGTAATATGTAACATCCTGATTTTTTATATAATAAAAAAATTATGAAATTTAGGTTTTGAGAAAAAAAATGATAATAATAGGAATTTATATTATTTGAGGTTATTTAGAAATAATATTATGGTTAGGTATTTAATTATGAATTTAAAAATTTAAATTTAAAACCACATAAGCAATATTTAGTTAAGATATAATACATAAATAATTTTTTTATGTATGTGTTGAAAAAAAAAAGAGAAGGTAGAAGGAACAAAAAAAAGGGGTGGAAGGTTGTTGTTTCTAAGTCCCACATTGGTTAGATGAGGAAAGAGAAGAGGTGCCTTCATGTATAAAAAGGAGGGGGTGTGTGCATTAGGAAGCATGAGAGGCTAAGATGCAATTTAGAGAAAATTGCAACTTTTGGCCCAAAGGTTTGAATAATTAAATTTAAACCTATAGTTTTTTTTAATATAATTTTGGGACTCACAATCCCATTTTTATATTATTTTCTCTCTTCCTCTCACGTTGCTCGGCGTTTTCTCGCAAGGGGGGATTATTTTCTTTTTCTTCAGGTATGTTCTAACTTTCCTGTTTAGATTAGTATTTAAAAATTTATTTAATTATAAAATTAATTTTATAGTTATTTTCTAAATAATATTATCTTTTTAGTGATATGATTATTTTGTAGGATAGAGTAAATATTTTGATTAGGATTTTTCTATAGGATAGTTAATCTGATGATATGATGGATTAAAAATATAGGTTAAAATTCTTAGGGATATAAAAAATATTATAGAATATTTTCTTAAGGTTGAAACTCATGTTTAAGAATTTTTGAGTTAAAATCTAGATCTATATGGTTGAATTTATGTGGAATCTGAGACGTAGGGATAAACCTATGATTATTAAATATTTATTTAAGTATGAATAGGTATTTTTAAGGTTATAGAAAGGTGATTTGAGGCTTCAGGATAATTCTAAAATTTTTAATTTATTTTTGGATGAATTTTTAGAATATAGAAGGATGAAATTGTGATACTAAAAGTGAATTGAGGATAAAAAAAATAGTTCATTAAGGTACGAGAATTTTGAAAAAGAATTTGGGAAGTTAAATGAGGCATAAATCTTAAATTAGTGTTAATATGGACTATAGATCCAAGACTTTCTAACTCTTTAAATTAGAGTTATTTATTTTAATGTAAAATTAATATATAGTATTGTGAAATAATTATGTAGATTATATTGACAAAGATAGTGGTGAAAAAGGAGTTGTGAAGGGGAACTTGTTATTCAAGACACAAGGTAACCATTATTAATGTGTTGTGATGGGTGTGTTTGTGAATGGTTATGTGTTGTTTTGTTGTTTGGAAAAATTATGAAGTATTGAAAATAAATACTGTTATATACTTCCGTGAAATCATTGCCAAGTAGGTTAAAAATTTATTTTTGTTTATCATAATGAGATATTATTGTTTGGATATATTTCTGTTTGGATACTTGAATGATGCATGACTTGTCAGGGTATTTTAATATATGGTGTTAATGGGAATTTCTGTTCGGTTAATTATTACCACGTGGTAAGCCCTCATTGGACCCAATGAGTGGCCTGTCGCTTGGTCCAACTCACCTTTGGCTGGATGATTTGGCGTCCGAGCATGGCGAAAGGAAGATATAAGGTGCAGTCATGCAAATTAAATACTTGTTCGATTTGTTTGAAAGTATTGTTCGGTTAAATGTTTTGTGTGCCCACTTAGCAATCGCATGATTAGTTACATCCGCATGCATCATTACATATTAATTTTTGGTTACTGGGACTTTTAAGTCTCATTCCCCGTGGTTAACATTTTTACAGGAGCGAGTCCGGCCGAGAAAGCACCAGAGGTGTAACTATGGTGTATGAGACACCATCTTTTACGTTGCCTCTTATTTTTATTATACAATGTATCTTGTGCCAACTTAGGACATATCTTCTTTGTGAAGCATGTAAACTCTAATCCTTTTTATTAAAAGTATTTATATGACCAAGAGGATTATATCTGTCCCTCTTGATTCATAACCTTATTTAAATATCATGCCATGAGGATCCTGTCTGTCCCTCATGGTTCTAATTGTTTTTTTGAGATATTTTAAGACCTGTGGTATATTGTTTTGGATGTACCATGGTAGAAATTTTTCTACCATGATAAGGGTATGATGAGGGTTCAATGAAAAAAAAATAATTTATTGAATTAATGATTTGCGAAAAATCGGTTTGTATTTTTGAGGGTGTTACATAATAAATTTTGTGTATTTAAATTCTAATATATAATAATGGGAGAGTGACCCATGAAATATGGAAATGACAAAAAGTTGCTGCAAAATGTGATAATTATTATGTAATTTCAAGGGACTTGTCTAGCACATTATTTTTTTGACGAAATTACAAATTTATTATCAATTTAAAATTTGAAAACATATGAAGGACAATGATTACTTAAAAATAGTGAATAATAACTTCATTCAGGCAAATTACTAAAACTTAATAGCAAATTACAAGTATTTTTCTATCATTTTTTCATCAATAAAATTTAACACATAGAAGACAGTGAGTATTTAAAAATAAGAAATGATAACTTCTCTTGGATAATGGCAAATCACAAGTATCTTTTTGTCATTTTTCATTGGTAAAATGTAAAGAACAGTGACTACTTAAAAATAAAGAATAACAATTTATTTTGAACAAATTATTAAAAACTTGTGGGAAAAAAAAGGAAGAAAGGTAATTTATATAACCAGTTTTAATTAGTGAAATAAGATTTATCGTTGCTTTTGTTCAGTTTATTATTACTGTATGCAAAATCTGAACATATAAAGGATAACTAATGAACATCATTTTTAATCACACATGACAAATGATAACAACACTAGATATATCTAAATAATAAAAATTAATTTCCGAATTAATATTCACACGTCAACATAAAAAATTATGGCAAAACTGAAAGTTTTTCTTTCGAGACAACATTTCGTAATTAGTGAGACTGGCTATTTTTTTTTTTTCCTTTGTCCAGTGCTATTACCAATTAGTAAACATTAAATCATGAACATTTAACATTTCAATAAATTAAATATTATTTTATTTATTTATTATCTGAACGATTTTAAGATAGAAACAGACAAGTTTTTGCCTCCCTGAGTCGGTAAGGCTTGTCTCCATCCCCTGACTTGGTCTTCTCATCCAAAACAAGTGGTGAGAGTAGAGTGGAAATTTCAATTTTTTTAATAATATATTTTTTGAAAATTTGAATTGTGATTTTGGACGGACTACCTCAAAATAGAAATGAATAAAAAGAAAGAATGATCACAAGTTGAATCAAAAAATAAATCATGCTCTTCTTGTAAGGATATACACCTTCTCTTTTTATTTTCAACATTGAAATTTTTCCTCTATATATATATATATTTAATTATCTCATTTACAACAAAAAATAAGGATTTAGTAGCACACATATTTTATTTATATATTATTTATACAGCATAATAATTATAACATTTATTTGATTTGAAACTTAATTTTTTTAAAAAAATAATTTCAATAAAATTACATGAATTTTCATTATATGTTCAATAAATGTACCCTCTTTTCCTAAGATATCAAAATAAATTATATTACATATTTATGAATTTCGTTAATAAAATATGCCTATAATTTTAATAAAATTCACATATGCTTATATTTTTCAGTTCATGAAATGAAAGATAAAATACAGATGATTAGAATGACTTCGGAAATTTAAAATAAATGTCTACGTGATTTTAATACTCTCTTTAGGCCAAAATATAAATATTTGTTTAAGAAAAACTAGTGCATTAATAAATTTTTTATTTTCATAAAAATATATATTTTTTTATTATTTGTCTCAATTATTAATGTATTTTATAATAAGTGAGAGATAATTTTAGTAAATATAATAAATAAAATAAAAAAATTATTTTTTATATATATTAAATTACTTATATTTTGAATTAAAATTAATTAAAAATATTTATATTTTAAATCGGGGGAGTAACATTCAAAGAATATACCAGCAAATGTATATGTTCATGTGTGCATTGGATGCGGGGATTGATTGATTTAATTTAAGTATATTTAATATTAAAAAAAGAAATGGAGTAATAAGCAGGAGGGTACGTGGCAAAAGGCTAACTATTTTCGAAGTAATTAAGGAAGCTGGAAGGAATCAAACACCCATAGAAGCCATACGTGTTCGACACGCGCCTTTTGGATCGGTGGTTGTTAGATCTCCATTAGCGTTGACTTGTTAGTCTTAGAAAAGTAGGTACACTTTGACTCTTAATCGCTTTATTACTATCACAAAACCATTGTCTAACCAATACTGGTCCAAGTGCTAAAATTCCAAACCATCACTGTTATATACTCTTCTAATTTTATTTATATGACATTTTTTAAAAATAATTTTTAATCTAAAATATATAAAACTTTATAATAATTAAATCACTTTTTTAATTTTATCATTTCTTAATTAGCGTGAAGGTATTTAATATAATTATATTATTATTTAAAATTAAAAATAAAAATAAAAATATATCTCACTTTTTTATGATATTAAGAAAAAATTACTCCTTCTATCCCAAACTATAAGACACTTTTAGATAAAATCTTACATATCAATAAATCTCATTAAATACACTTAACAACCTTATCTTTTTAAAACAAAAATATAAACTTTTAAAAATATTTATTATTTAATATATTGAAAAAAGGGCCAGAAATTAATCATAGAAAGAGAAAGAGTAATGTTAAAATTGATACATTTAATAAAATTTTAATATAATCAAAGTGTCTTATATTTTGAAAAGAAAAAACCTCTTCAAAAGTGTCATATAATTTGAGACAGAGGGAGTAACTTTTTTTAAAATATTTAAAACGATTAAAAATATCTTATAATAAAAATCAGAGGTAGTATTAAATACCACTTTTCTAGTTGTAGAATTCAAAATTGCAAAGGTACCTAATTAAGAGGGAAAAAATGAATAATTGAATGTTTTAGTGGAGACAAATATAGTGGACAATGAAAAAGTGGGATTAATAAGTTGTATGAGAAGTAAAAAAAACAAAATAAACAAATGAGAGAAGTAATAATGTTAATTTATATGTAAGAAAAAAAAAATACAACAATGAATCCTATATTTTAATTGCAATTTTTTAAATTCATATAATTACATTTTGTCATTTCTAGTTTCTTCAATTTGATCAATATATAATATCAATCGTTATAAGTGCTAGAATGTACATATAGATCATGGGTTGGCACTGATAGAGGTAATTTTGTCATGACTTTGCTGACTTCTTTACTAGTATAGTCAAACTATGTTAACGTAGAAATAAATTGGCCAGGTATTATCAAAAAAATAAAAGGCAAGTGAGAAAAAAATGCCTTTATAAATTGGCCAAGTATTATTAAAAATGAAAGGCAAGTGACAAAAATAAGATTATTAAAAAAAATGCTTTCTTTTATATTTGGTTTAAACAAAACATGAGAAAAAGAATCCGAGATTAAATACATGAAGTTAGATACACTTCAGTAAAATTAATCTTGTCAGTGCCAGCTTATAATCCTCACACGCATGTTTAAATTTATAGGAACTAACATTGCATATAAATCAAACTAAATGAACCAGAAACAATGAAATAAAACCATATGATGGGCTAAAAGCAAATGGAAATCATAATATAGAGACCTATTGTCATATTTTTTTCCATGCATATAATATGTATAGCATTCTTCTTCTGACCACCCTGGGCACAGAAGTTGTAGTTTAATTTTTTAAAAATAGTATATGTCGATAAAGTATTTTTTTTATCAAATAATGTTGATAAAATTTTAATTTATTTTTACTGAGGATAAAATGCGACTGATGTCTCAGGCAACAAAATAAAATCTGGCTCATTGGAACTGGTAAAATTATTTTATAAGTATTTTTCAGTAGCTCTTTTGTTTAATTCTCTTGTTTAATCTATACTTTATTGTCAGTTATGTAAATTATGTCATCAAGACGAAACCTAATAATATCTTTGTTAATGATTATTTTGTTTAATATATCGTTTTTGGCGAAGCACAATGAGTGAGTGCACGTTTTTCTGTTTTTTTCCCCCAAAATAATAAATATGAAAATTTTGAGATGGACATGAAGAACTAAAAATAGGTGTGCTGTCGGTGGCAATGAAGAAGATTTTAGGAGATGATGCAATGTGCGTGTGTCCACCCTAATTAGTACCTTCTTATAATTAAAACTATCAAAATACTCCCTCCATTAAAAAATATAAAGTATTTTTTAAAAATTAAATGTTTAAAAATATAAAGCATTTTTAGTCTTTTAAGGTGTAATGATTTCCTTGTTTTTTTTAAAAGTACCCCTATTAATGAATGAATTTATATTTATTATGGGGTATTTAATAGGAGTAAATATGAAAAGATATAGTTAGTTTGAAAGTATACAACTACTTTATTAAAGATGAGATTCGATTAAAAATGTCTTATATTTTTGAATGAAAAGAGAAGATATTTTCTAACATGTTATAAAGTAAGGTTAAAAAGTAATTTTACTTTTAAATTATAAGTTCAAAAATGTCTTGAGATTAAACTCATTTTTAGTATAATGTGCTCCTTCAACTTTTAAAAATTGTCTCATACCATTAACAAAAATTAAATTTAACCATTGCTTGACAAATAAATTATAAAAAAAAGAATCTTAAAAATTATAAAAAAATAAATTTAAAAATTACAAATAAGAACCACAACAATTTTTGTATTTTTTTCTGTAATTTTTTATTAACTAATGATCAAAGTTAATATTTATTAATGGTAGATATAATATTACATCATTTTAAAAAGTTAAATGAGAAAATTGCACCGAAAAGAGTTTATAATCCTAAATGCTCTTGAACCAATAATTCAGTAACCAATTTGACATTTAACCTT